ATCTGTGATATGCAGGCTTCATAACCTCTGATCCCCTTTCAAAATTCCATTTTATTTAGTTCCGCCCATTGTTTTCTCGTATAGGGCACAAGCATTTTTTAACTTGGGGACCATATGCCGCTTTTCATGGAATGGCACTTACGTGTCACATTGAAGGTTCCATGATAACCGCCATATGAACACATCTGCGGATGTTTCAAAATTTAAAATTGTATCAGTTCATGTTTAATGTTGAATTCTGCTTAAGCCAGTGCTAGGGGGCGTGGACGGTAGTTTGCACTTGACAGTACCGTCCATGCACAGGCTCAATCAAACCGAGCCTGCAACATTTTCAATTTTGCTGTGTTGGGCTTTCTTTAGGGATTCTTAATTTCTCTATATTATCGCCACACCAGTGTTATTTGTGCCGTGTGGAGGCTATAAAAAGTTGCCCCGTACATTCAATCAGAGATGTTATATTTCAGAACCTTAAAGATCGTTCAGCACGTCATTATTGTTGTGCTTGTGGTAATTTAGTTCTTTCTATTTGGCTATTTTCTTATTGGGTGGTTCCAGTATTCCTCACTTGAATACTGTTGAATCACCCTTACGATATGTGGCCTGCTTTTTAAATTTGTCTTTTGACGTCTTATCTGTGATATGCAGGCTTCATAACCTCTGATCCCCTTTCAAAATTCCATTTTATTTAGTTCCGCCCATTGTTTTCTCGTATAGGGTACAAGCATTTTTTAACTTGGGGACCATATGCCGCTTTTCATGGAATGGCACTTACGTGTCACATTGAAGGTTCCATGATAACCGCCATATGAACACATCTGCGGATGTTTCAAAATTTAAAATTGTATCAGTTCATGTTTAATGTTGAATTCTGCTTAAGCCAGTGCTAGGGGGCGTGGACGGTAGTTTGCACTTGACAGTACCGTCCATGCACAGGCTCAATCAAACCGAGTCTGCAACATTTTCAATTTTGCTGTGTTGGGCTTTCTTTAGGGATTCTTAATTTCTCTATATTATCGCCACATCAGTGTTGTTTGTGCCGTGTGGAGGCTATAAAAAGTTGCCCCGTACATTCAATCAGAGATGTTATATTTCCGAACCTTAAAGATCGTTCAGCACGTCATTATTGTTGTGCTTGTGGTAATTTAGTTCTTTCTATTTGGCTATTTTCTTATTGGGTGGTTCCAGTATTCCTCACTTGAATACTGTTGAATCACCGTTAGGATATGTGACCTGCTTTTTAAATTTGTCTTTTGACGTCTAATCTGTGATATGCAGGCTTCCTTTTCAAAATTCCATTTTATCTAGTTCCGCCCATTGTTTTCTCGTTTAGGGCACGAGCATTTTTTAACTTGGGGACCATATGCCGCTTTTCATGGAATGACACTTACGTGTCACATTGAAGGTTCTATGATAACCGCCATATGAACACATCTGCGGATGTATCAAAATTCAAAATTGTACCAGTTCATGTTTAATGTTCAATTCTGCTTAAGCCGGTGCTAGGGCCGTGGGCGGTAGTTTGCACTTGACAGTACCGTCCATGAACAGGCTCAATCAAACCGAGCCTGCAACATTTTAAATTTTGCTGTGTTTGGCTTTCTTTAGGGATTCTTATTTTCTCTATTTTAGTATTGGCAAGACCACCCATAATACCATTTGCATTACAAATCGAAAAAGCCAGTGGCTCTTAAAACATAACTTTTAATTGAGACATTAATGCAAAAATTTAAAATAAAACACAAATTAACACAATGAGGCACTAACAGCAAAATGTCGTGCATTCTTCAAACGAAGACCATTACTGACTCAATAGACAAAATTGATTGCTTCTCTTATAAACGTATAAATTAAGCTCGGCGGGAAATACTGCCTATGCTAAGACGTGTTAATTTTAAAATTGTTAAACAAAAACAAGAAATTCGGCAAAAAAGCACCTTTTACGATTTTAAAAAAATCAGTAAAGTTTCGGCAAATAAATTTCCGGGCATTTTGTTTAAAGGGCTACCCCAAAATTAAAACCCTGGGTTTATAGTTTTGATTATTTCCCTGTACAATTTGGAAAAAGTAATATATTTTTACCAATTAATTGCGAAGAGAATTATGTTCATTATAAGCACTTCTTGTCCAAATCGTTGCACATGTTTTTTAGATATTCAGATACAAATAAATATTATGCAAAGTCAGTGCATTACTGTTAATTTTCAAAATATAAGAAGCTTAAGAACTGAGGTCGGATAGGAAAAACCTGTAAAAACCTAAATGCTAATAACACGGTTTGTTGGATCCTTATAATTGAAAAAATACAGTAATCCAAAATATGTCGCATCTATTCACTGGCAATGTTCATTCATCTATTAAAGTGTAAAAGGAAATTGAATTGAGTACGACACGGTACAAGAATTATGACCTGACGTTCATTCAGATAGCTACATCATACTTTTAGAATAGAGAAAAACAGAGTCTCTAAAGGAAGCCAAACACACTGTTCAACAAACGATTTTTTGTTCAACATTATATAAACATGCTAAAGAATAAAAACATCATACTGCTACATTTTCGGTAGTATGATATTTACGAGTAACTTTCTTTCCACAATATAAATTTATGTCATTATTTAAATGGAAGCATTATTAAAGAATTGCCGTACACAATACCGTCAATAATCTTTCTCCCCACGCACCATCAAAGACTGGAACAGCCTACCTCCGGATGGTACGTCAGCCGGTACAGTTGAGTCATTCCGTACTCCTCTGTCCCAACTCTATATCTAAACCACACTCCTGTCCGTTTTTAACCTGCACTGTATATATTCCTCACTAATTATGCCCCCCTTCGAAGAAGAGGGGGTATATTGTTTTGCTAATGTCGGTCTGTCGGTCTGTCTGTCGGTCCGTCGGTCTGTCCGTCGGTAGACCACATGGTTTCCGCTGATTATCTTGAAAAGTATTTATCACAAAGTCTTCATATTTCACATAGTGATTGGTCATAACTAGTAGATGACCCCTATTGATTTTGGGGTCACTAGGTCAAAGGTCAAGGTCACAGGGACCTTAAAATGTCAAAAGGGTTTCCGCTGATTATCTTGAAATGTATTCATCACAAAGTCTTCATATTTTACATAGTGATTGGTCATAAGTAGTAGATGACCTCTATTGATTTTGGAGTCACTAGGTCAAAGGTCAAGGTCACAGGGACCTTAAATGTCAAAATGGTTTCCGCTGATTATCATGAATAGTATGTATCACAAATTCTTCATATTTCACACAGTGATTGGTCATAACTAGTAGATGACCCCTATTGATTTTGGGGTCACTAGGTCAAAGGTCAAGGTCACAGGGGCCTTAAATGTCAAAAGGGTTTCCGCTGATTATCTTGAAAAGTATGTATCACAAAGTCTTCATATTTCACATAGTGATTGGTCATCATTCGTAGATGACACCTATTGATTTTGGGGTCAAAGGTCAAGGTCACAGGGACCTTAAAATGTCAAAATGGTTTCCGCTGATTATCTTGAAAAGTATTCATCACAAAGTCTTCATATTTCACATAGTGATTGGTCATAACTAGTAGATGACCCCTATTGATTTTGGGGTCACTAGGTCAAAGTTCATGGTCAAAGGGGCCTTAAATGTCAAAATGGTTTCCGCTGATTATCTTGAAAAGTATTCATCACAAAGTCTTCATATTTCACATTGTGATTGGTCATAACTAGTAGATGACCTCTATTGATTTTGGGGTCACTAGGTCAAAGGTCAAGGTCACAGGGGCCTTAAATGTCAAAAGGGTTTCCGCTGATTATCTTGAAAAGATTTCATATTTCACCTAGTTATTGGTCATAAGTAGAAGATGACCTCTATTGATTTAGGGATCATTAGGTCAAAGGTCAATGTCACATGGGCCTTAAATGTCAAAATGGTTTCCGTTGATTTTTCCATAATTGAACACTTCCATGTACCCATTTTTGGCAAGTTTCTGTAATAAAATTACTAATTATGTGAGTTAATGGCTAGAAAAGGGGGTATATGTGTCGTTCGACATTCTTGTTTACCCTTTCTTTCCGTCTTGCGCATTAACTTGGCAGTAAACTTCAGTTAGTTGAAGGCGGCCAGTATATTGGAAGAAGAAGAAGAAATGCACTTTACCTAATATGACCCACTGACCGAACATACAATATATATTCAAGTTATATCACTATACGTTTGCTTTAATATTTCTAGACACAATTTAATCGCTCTAATCTGCTATAAAACACCACAGGGCTGTACTTTCACAATAATATCAACTCATCTCGGAATACTATCATTAAGTGAAAAACAGTTTTGATGGGGGAAAAAAGAAGATATTAGACGTTGTAAGTAATTTTGTAAGATAATAAAAGATTTTACTTTATATAATCAAAGATTTTATATTTTTGACCTTTGAAAATCGTTCAGCATGAGTGTTGTTCGAACATGCTACTCTATGGTCTTTTTCTATTTGGGTGGTTCCAGGATTCCAACAATCAGACTAAACATATGTTACCTGCTTTTCACATTTGACTTTCAGCGTCTTATCTGTGATAGGCGAAGTATGCCGGGTCGATAACCTGTGATCCCCTTTCAAAATTCCATTTTAATAGTTACACCCATTGTTGTCATATTTTCCCTTTCTTTTCCTTGAGGACAATAGGCCGCTCTTCGTGAAATGATACAAACGTCTCACATTGAAGGTCCCATGATAACCGCCTTATGAAATCATCAGCCTATGTTTCTAAATTCAAAATATTACTATTTTCATGTTTAAATGTTGAATTCTGCTAGGGGGAGTGGACGGAATCTTGCAGTAATTACTAGGGCTGGATCAATATACCGGTAAATCGGTATTTATCGATTTTCTGTTTCTCAATACGGTACGGTTACCGGGTTTTAGCTATACCGATACAAAGGGAGACAACCTAATAAATGCGTAACTAACGATCATGATGACTCTACATTAAAATTATCGTCTGTTTAACAAGTAAAATGTCAGCGAGAAAGTCAAAAGTGTGGGCATTTTTCGCCAAAGTCAACGATAAAAAGGCCCTCTGTAATATTTGCAAGGCCGAAGTGGCAAGTTCTGGCGGCACAACTAATATGTCAACTCATCTGAGGAGGCATCACAAAATTGATCCAGCCATTCAATCTAACGCATTGGAGAAAAAGTTACCTTCAGGTTTGCGGTATTTTTATTAGACCAAACAGTAACTTGTAATTTAATCCAACACACGAATTGTATATAGTATACACGTATATCTTACAAATTTATTGATTTTCCAATATGAAAGTAGCTAAATAAATGTGACCGAGATATTGACCTTTTGTGACCTAGCTAAACACCGTTTCCCGGGAGGTTACGGATTTAGCTCTCGGAAGTTACATCAAATGAAGTCTACAAAATTAAAACGTGATATTTCTATTTTTATTTTACCGTTTAAGAATGAAAAATTTGATATTTTAAAGAATTGTCACCGTTCTATTACCATATATCTCAAATTTAACAGAATTGATTTTATAATTAAAATCTATAAACTTAGAACAGTCATAGGCACCTGCCATAATAAATAAAGATATTTTGCAGAAACGTGTGTGTATATATGTTTGCATGAAAATTATTTGTATAATGATATCTAATCCTTTTTTAAATAATTGTTTTGTTTCATATCGTCAAAAAAAGGCCATCATGTTTATTTCAGAAAAGTTTCACAATTAAAGTAATAAAGGTTCCTTTGCCATGCTATAATAGACTCAAAAGCTGTTTGAACGAGAAGGATATAAATTATTTTAAGAATAAACTTCATCAAAATTCTTTAATTTTTTTGAGACAGACACATCAAACTTAATGAATTTTTCCATATCTTTTCAGGAAAGGTCTCTGATACAGTAACTGCAAGTGCAAGCAACAGCTGCTCATCCTCATCAGTATCAGCGAATCCATGGACAATATCTCAACAAGCAAAACTTCCATTGGCAAATTCAAATGAGATTACAAACTCTGTAGTATATTATCTCATTCAGGACCTGCGCCCTTTCAGTACCATAGAAAGCCAACCATTTAGAAAAATGTTATTTGCCTTGGAGCCCAGGTACCAACCTCCAAATCGGCACACATTGGCAGAGAAGCTGATACCTAATCTGTTGGAGAAAGAGAAATCAGCACTTCAAAGTGAACTTAATCAAGCCCTTGCAGTTGGTTTGACATCGGATGCATGGACATCAAGGTCTGCGGATTCGTACTTAACCATCACTTGTCACTACCTTAAAGATTGGAATTTGCAGTCAAAAGTCCTGCAAACTGAACATTTTCATGGAAGCCACACTGGAGAAAATGTTGGTCTTGAACTCAAAACAGCTCTATTAAACTATTAAAGTGGCATATTATGGATAAGGTTAAAGTTGTCACTGTTGATAATGCATCCAATATGACGGCAGCAATCAGGGTTTCTGGCGTTGATCTTAAGCTGGGATGTTTCGCCCATACATTAAACCTTGCTTCCAACAAAGCCCTTAATGTAACAGCTTTAGGAAAGGTTTTAGGCAAAATAAGGTCTGTGGTTACCTTTTTTTCACAAAAGTTGTATTGGAACAGAATTTTTGAAGCAGAAGCAGTCTGGTCTTGGCTTAGCAAATCATAAACTGATTATGGATTGTAAGACTCGGTGGAATTCCACATATAATATGCTTCAACGATTTCTTGAACAACGACCTGCTATTCTTGCTACATTGCTGGATGAACGATTAAAAAACGTGAGTGCTAAGGCAAACATTGTTACTAACCTTTCAGACTCTGAAATCAATATTTGTGAAGTTTTTGTAAAGATCATGGAGGTTATGGTTACTGCTACTTTAGCCTTGTCTGAAGAAAAGTCACCAACTGTTGGTCTTATTCTTCCATTATTAGAAAGACTTCGTAAACACTTTACAGTAAATTCTGATGATGAACCATTCACCAAATCCCCTGAAGGCAGCAGTTGGCACTGATCTAGCAACAAGATATACTGATCCACAGTTGCTTGTGTTTCTGGAGGAGGCCAGTGCCTTGGATCCAAGAACCAAGAATAAGGCTTGTGTAAATGATGACACATGGAACAGAGTTTTAGAAAAAAAAACTATTTTGTTGACAACAGTTGTGGGTAAACAAGTAACTGTAAAGCAAGAGCCAGGTCTACCTGTAGCTGATAGTAATCTACCTCCTTTGCCAGAATTGCCTTCTGGTGCTACTACAACATGTGAGGAGGGGCCAAAAATCAACTCTATGGATGATAAGACAGAGACACATAAGAAGACTGCCTTAGAGTGTTTATTTGATGATGATGTCCAAGTGATCAAGGAGGAGCCTGCATTATCACTTCAACAAAGAGTATTAAAACAGATAGATACTTACAGAAAGGCTAAGCAACTACCTATGAATGCTAACCCATTAGAATTTTGGAAGGTACACCCTGAATATCCTGATCTTAGCCTTCTTGCTCAGACCTACTTCTGCGTGCAAGCAACATCTGTTGCCTCTGAGCGTGTTTTTAGCACAAGTGATGACATTGTGTCAGCAACAAGGTCATGCTTGAAACCTGATCTTGTGGACAGTTTAGTTTTTCTTAAGAAAAATATGACCATGCCATAGTAAATGGCATTTGTAATTGCAAACTGAGCAAACTAAAAAACACTAAAAGTATTTTGCTATAACTGTAACCTAAATCTTGTATTTTTTCAAACTTTGAAACATTACCTTGATCTCTTAAAAAGTTAATAAAACAAAAGAATTATCTGACTTTTTAATTTTTTTTTATTAAATATATTAACATATTATACAGGATCAGTAACAAAGTTAAAATCTTCAGAAATAAGAAAACAACAATATTTGGCCAGATTATTAATGATATATACTACTAATAAATACATCCTATCAATGAAGCATTATTGTACTGTATCGTCAATACGTATCGTGTATCGTTGGTCTGTATCGCAATACGTATTGTATCGGAAATGTCTGATCAATACCCAGCCCTAGTAGTTACTACCTATTACCAAACCAAATAAAATAGAGAAAAACAGAATCCCTAAAGAAGGTCCAACACAACACAATTGAAAATGTTGCAGGCTCGGTTTGATTGAGCCTGTTCATGGACGGTATTGGAAAGTGCAAATTACCGTCCACGCCCCCTAGCACCGGCTTAAGCAGAATTCAACATTTAACACGAACATGGTGAAATTTTGAATCTATCAAAAACATCCGCAGATGTGTTCATACGGTGGTTATCATGGAATCTTCAATGCGACACAAGTGCCATTCCATGAAAAGTGGCGTATGGTCCCCAAATAAAAGAATGCTTTTGCCCTAAACGAGAAAACAATGGGCGGAACTAAATAAAATGGAATTTTGAAAGGGGATCTGAGGTTATGAAGCCTGCAACATATTCAATTATGTCGTTTTGTGCGTTCATCTAGGAATCTGTTTTTCTCTTTTTTATATTGCTGAGCATAATTTGAGTTTTTGATATGAAATGTTATTCGGATAGGAACTATACTTGCTAGGGTATGTAGGAAATACACTTTTATTATCTATAAAAGAACACTCGTGCATTCTTTTATATAAAAATAGTTTTGAAAATAAAAGAAAAATAGTAATTGTTGTTTAAAAATTTAACAAAGAACTTTATGAGTCAATTAGATTTAAAAAAGAAGAAATAGTGAAAATGAATTTAAAAAAAATATGAAAATTGCAGATCAGGTCTTATTGAGTCTAATAATGTGAGGTCATGGACGGTGCATCATGCCCCGAACGAAAGCTAAAGCAGTGTCCGATCTATATTATCAAAACTGCTAAGTTATTAGACAGCAATGGTCATCTAGATTTTGAAACATGCTGACAGTTTTTATTTGACAAACACATGTTTGTTTCTCTCTTAAAGGTGTGGCAATATTTCATTTGCTGGATACCTTACATTCATAATAAATATATAATAATCACTAACTGTTTCAGTAATGTATATACAAACGATATTATATAAGAGAGGACCCCTTTCTTCCGTAGATGGTCTCCTCATGGACCTAACAGTCACTAACTAACTATCTTTATTTATTGAAACATATTTACAAATAATAAACACACAATAAACACAATAAACACAAGTACAAATAACTCAATCCATTTAGAATTCAATAGTCTCAGAAAATCAGTGCATGTAGTCTTTAAACTTGGTAGTGCTGTCTGGATCTGATTCGTATTTCCAGGGGAATCTGAGTGGTCTCCTCCTCCTGAAACGTGGTCCTGAGAAGAGTGATTTGGGTTCCAGACGGGCTTTTTAGGGGGTTCTATGGAGGGCAGTGGACTATCGTCAAGGTCAGAGAGGTGCAAGCTTCGGTCACATGGATTCTCATCGCTGCTCTCTTGTAGCATTCTCTTGGCTCTGGAGTGAGCCTGTGGTGATCCCATAGTCTTTGACGTCATAGTTTCATTAAACCAATCAACGGAGACCTCGTTGGAAGTGTTTTTGTCTTCAGAGTCGCTATCACTACTAATCACTATTACCAGGTGTTCGTAAAGACTTCTTTTATTTCTGGGGTGGTGGGCTCTTTGCGTTGGTATTCTGGGGTGGGAGGCATGTCAACTCTTTCAAAGTAGTCTGTAATATTAGTACGATGATTGGCGCGTTCTACCAAGGTTGAGGGACTTGGCAGAGTCTCGTCTTCTAGTACTAAGTCTGTATCCATGCTGTTGTCATCTAGACGTACTTCAAAGATTCCTTTGTAGACGTGGTGAGTAGTTGCACACGTTTCTTCAGTTATCTTCACTTTTGTAATGTTCTCCACATCCCGAATTGCTGTAAATACCTGTTGGAAGTATCCAAAAATTAGGGGACTTTTTTTACTTTTTTTCC